CACTCTTGCACCTGACCGGGGGAAAGAGATTGCTAATGAAATGTGAGTCTTTATGTTACAACTCTGCCACATCTGAAAGGTCTGTGGGATCTTTGGGGGGGATTGGAGCAACCTGTTTGCTATTTTTACTTTCAGATTTTGCAAGGTGGCTGTTGTAAACTCCAGGAGCGAAGCAAACCTATTTGTTTCTTCATCATTTCTGAAGTTGCGTAAGAATATGCAAATGAAAACAGGTGTCTTAACTTTATTGTATAATTTCTGTGCAGATGAGGGGAAAGAAGCCACATTGAGTGGGGGAATTTGGGGCAGTTTTGTATTTAAAATGCAAGAACGTTGCTGCAGTACCAAGTCACCGTTCTGGTGCAGAGTTTGAAGTTAGGCAGTGGTCAGGCCGGTGCAAGTTACGGTGAGTCCTTGGGTATCAGTGAAGTCTTGTGCAGCTGTTACAGAATTAAGGAATAGTTGAGGTTGGAAGACGCCTATGGAGATCGTGTGGTCCCACCCCCGTGCTAAAAGCAGTGTTGAGTCGAGCAGGTTGCTCAGGACCATGCCAGCCAGCTTTTGAGTGTCTCCAGGGAGGGAGACATCCCCCTCTCTGGGCGACCTGGTTTGGCATTTGACCAACCTCACCACAAATTGAGGGGTTTTTGTCTTGTGTTTAAGTGGAATCTCCTGTATTGCAGTTTGAGCCTGTTGCCTCTTGTCCCTTGGGAAGAGTCTGGTTGTTGCCTTTACTCCCCCGATCAGGTTTCTGTAAACTAGATGATCTTTAAGGTCCCTTCCAACCCAAACCATTTTAGGATTCTACGATCCTCCTGGGCTTTCTCTTCTCCAGGCTGAGCAGTCCCAGCTCTCTCAGCCTCTCCTCCTGTGTCAGGTGCTCCAGACCCTTCCGTGGTCTTGGCGGCCCGTTGCTGCACTCCCTCCGGTGTGCCCGTATCCCTCGTCACGGGGAGCCCAGAGCTGGGTGCAGCACTCCGGGATGTCTCACTGGTGCTGCGGGCTGGGGGTCCAGCAGCCTGCGGTGGGCTGGCTGTCACGGGCTGCCCTGGCATTAACCACAACTTTGGTAATTAAGCCTGTGCCTAAAGTTTTCCTGGTAGATTTTTTTGCATGACAGCAGAACTAGTTGACATTCAGGGTAGGGGAAACAGCCCTGAAACCCTTCTACCTTTAGAATTGCCTTGTTTTAGCATCGTTATCTATTGCATGCTTGTGCCACGTGGCTTTGAGTCTTGCATACATCCTGAGGGTGCGTTTTGCTCTGTGCTGGGCTTATTTTAGTGTGTCTGCTATGACTTAGGGAGAATTATTATCCTGGTTTCCACTAGGGAGGTGATGCTCGGAGTAGCAGACGGAGAAGTTGCACCACACTGGTACCAACAGCACCTAGTTGTGTTTTCTCAGGGACAGGTCGCGTGCTCGGGGAACAGCACTGAGGAAACACGTGGTTGTTTCTCTAAACAGCGTGGTGGGCACAGACCTTTGCTTAATATCCACAAAGGATCTGCAGCCAGCACCTTTTCCTAAGGGTATTTTCTGTCTTTCCCTGTAGTTGCTGACGTGTATGTTACACTATGTCAGTGTTTGGAATTGTCTTCAAACAAATGGGAGACTCGGCCTGCTTGGTTAGAAATTGAATGCGTGTGAACAGTCTCCATTTGTAGGGTCATACATCCCCAGGATTTTTTCTTTTGCTTTCCTCACTATAAAAGGACAAGGTGGTACTTTTTTTCTGAATATTTTCCATTTTTGTTTCGGGAAAAAAAAAACACCTGCAAAGGTGACAGGCTGAAATTTATTATTCTTCTTACCTTCAGGTACAACATTGAATGCCCCAAAACGAAGAAAAATAAGAAAGAACTTCGTAACACTGTACTACCTTGCAGAGTCCGTGTCAGAAACTGTTGAGCATCCCTACCAGTTTGACAAAATAAATCTGCTTGCATGGTGCTCTGCACTGTTTCAAATTGGGTCACTTGCAAAAGAATTCTCTCCCTCGCAGCAGACTCAGATAGTTACTGTATTTTGCAGATTGTGTCTCACAGACTAGAATGAAGCATTGTTTTGCCTTTGGACTGAGAAATTTAAAAAAGTCATACCCTTCATAACTGACAGCTCTCTGTCACGTTGTGCATTGTGCACTGTGTGGTACGCGCCAACATCCACAAATTTGTCAGGCAAAAAGAAGTAGTAATGCAGTAGCTAACTCCCTGAGCACGTAACGACTTCTCTGTGGTCGCTTAGCAGTCAAAACCTTTCCACGCACTAACCCCCTTTGATTATTCCTGTATTCATATTTGTGTGGCTCGAACTCCTGGTATCGTTCATCAGTTTTTCCTGCAGAATATTTCTTAAAATGATACAGGTTGGTTCTGAAGACGTCAAGCCTGGCACTTAGTACTCTGCGAAGGTCAAATATCCCTTTGTACGTGGGTAGATCCAGGGACGTGGCAGGCTAATGGCCGTTTCATTCCTGAGTACTGCACACTGACTGTCAGAGAGGTCCTGCTTTTCCTGGGAAGCAGTCTATTGTTTCCCTTACGATTGGTGTGACTGCTCATCCGTGTGTGGTCAGAGATTCTGCGCAGTGATGACAGTAGTGCCTTGTGCTCTTTACCTCTGTAGTTGGCCCTGTGTGAAGCCTGCGGAGTAGGCTTCCTGCTGGTGCTCTGAAGAGGGTGAGAAGTCTGAGTGGCCTCGAACAATTTAATGCTCTTCAGGGAACTTGTCTTCTGTGCCTGCAAATTCCAGCAGCTGAGGGTCTCCCTAGTGTGATTTTGCTCTCATGACTGCCGGTCTCAGGGCAGCTGAGTAGGTGTTTTAGTGGGTCTGAAAGCAAAATGGGGTCAATTCCTGCTTGAATCTTGGCTTAGGAGGCTGCTCTTGAGTCTGCCTAAAATTCATTAGTTTCCCTGCACAGTGGTGCAGGGTGAAGCTGCTGGGACTCACCCAACTTGTCCTTGATACCTCAGCCGGTCCTCATCCCGTGGCATAAATGACAGCAAGGTTTTCTGCAAACCTTCATAACCCTGATGTTAGTAGTGCTCTGCTTTGGGAGCCACGCTAGGCATTGAGCGTGCCACTAGGTTACAAGACTGCCCTTGTCTCTAGCAGCCACGTTTGTGAATCAACTCTGTCTAGTAAACGTTACTGCAGTTGTCATGGGGTGGGGAGAAAGGCTGGTGTCGTTATCCTAACAATTTTCTAATGAAGACTAATTTCATTTTTCACTCGTTTTCTCTCCATGGTGCTTCAGTGCTAAGAAAGCACAAAGAAGTGTGACTGGTGCTCTACATCATCTCTGTTCTGTGGAGTTCATAGGAGCTTATCCCCCACCGTGTCAGGGCAGCAGCACCTGTGCTGCAGCAGCATCTGAACTCCCCATACTGGGTGTGGTAGTAACTTGGGCACTATTTACAGAGAACTGTCAGAAAACAGGAAGAGAAGCCTTGGCTTCATGTGCAGATTATAAAACATTTTCACTCCTGCATAGGCATCCTCTGACAGTGAGGTGTGGGGTTCAGTCTCATTCTCTTTGTTGCCCTTAATTGGAAGAGCATCTGTTACTTCTAATAACTGAAATTCTCTGTATCCGTCGTTCCCCCTGTGCAAGACTCTGCTGCTTGCCGTTTCCCGTGAGCAGTGCACACAAAGGCTCTACAGTAGGTTGAAAAATTTCCTATTACTGCTTTGCTAGTACTGTCTTAACAGAATGAAGCGAGTGACCTCAGTTGGCCTCACAGCAATTAATTGGCGTAAGATGATTCCTACGTTATTAACAGTGAAACGTGATACCCTGTAATCTGTTTGAGGTATTTACTTACCATTGGAAGGATTCTTTAGAGTTCTTGTGCGGGAGGGAGGAGTTTTTTTCCTGGGGCCTCTAGTGACAACATGGGACAGCTTCCAAATTCCGGGGACTGGAGGGGAGGCGAGGGGTATTAACCCGGGAGCGATAAGGGAGAAGCCGGTCTGGACTGTCAAGTAGGAACCATCTCTGCGTGCTTAAGGGTAAGTTCTGGAGTGGTGGGTACGTGCTTGGTATCGTTGTTCTGGTATTTGGGACAGGGCTTTCAAAAGCGATCGATTTCTCTTCTTAAGCCAGTACTGCAACCAAAGCGTGTGTGATTGCTGATCGAAACGGGCGGCAGTCGGATTGCAGTTGTGCACGCGGGCTGTCTGACTGACTGTCCTGCTCTGCTGGTCCGTGTTCGCTGCAGTTTGCGGTTAGGATGGCTTTAGCTCTTCCTGAACTCTGAAGAGATGGATGAGGTTCCCAACTGTTTGCACAACATAAGCATCATCATACAACTTTGGCTTTTGTTTTTCCTGTTGTCATTGTAAATACAGGTGGTAGCACAAAACAGAAAGGGGACCTTTCCATTAGAAAGCAAAGGAGGTGAAACAAGTGATCCTGATGGGACAGAAGGTGCGGTGGCTCACGTGCAGTACAGTGACTGCTAAGGTTTCCTTCGTGTCTCTGCCTGAGTTAATAGAACTGGGGGTGGTTACAGGTCTGCCTGACCATCCTGCCGGTGCAGACCCAGGCAGCGCGCCCTTCTGCTTACGTGAGGTGCTGTACAAACAGCCTTCTGTGAACAGTGTCAGCTTCCCTCCCCCCAGCTCTTTTGTGTGAAAACGTACCTTCAGTTCGTGGGAAAAACTTCAGATGCTTGTTCCACAAAGTGTATTTAATGCATAAAAATTTCCTTCCTCCTCCCTTGACTTCTTCCACTGTTGTGTGAGGAAGCAGCAGGCAACGTGTGCCTGTTCTGTTTTGAAGTCAGTCTACAGACACAAAATACTCCTTTTTTGTTTGTTTTTAACTCACTGAAAGCCTGTGTCTGTTAGTTACCCGAAACCGTTGTTACAGACTGTCTCTGGTCCCCAGAAGCTGGCTTGAAAAAAGACGTTACGTGTTAAAGCTTTTCTTTCTTGTTTCGCAAAGAGTGGTAACATGATTCTGTGTATCTCTGCCCATCTGTCTGCCCCTGCAGCGTACCTCTTGTTGATTTGCTAGACAGCATGGAGTTGCCAGAAACTTGTGTCGATGATGCCGTCAGCCGTCCCGTTGTTGGCTTGGCAACAGGAGATTCAGAAGAGGCTGTTCCTTGCCCTCATCCTGGCACAAAGGAACGTGCTGCTGAAAAAGCAGACTCTGACCGTAAGCAAACTTAGAGATTTTTCCCTTTATCATGACACGTGGGGTCAGAGTTAACCGATTAGGTTGTTAGGAGGTTGTTTTCTTATAAGAACCCAGATGTGTTGGAGAGAGCTCCCTTCGGTTACATGCATGATGGCAGCTTGACCCGCCACCGGAGCGCAGCCCCCTCTAGTAAATGAATTGGTGTGTTGAGGAGTGCCGCTAAGTCCTCTACCAGAATGGTAACAAATGGCTTTCAGGGAGAAAGACGGCGACAATCAGTCTTCTGTCTGTGAAATCTCGAACACCGATGTCAGTCTGTCTACTGAATTTTCCTTAACTGCTTTCAGGACCTGCCTTTTTTTGATTTTACTGTGTTTACAATAATTTGCCACAAACTTTTCAAGAGATGTGTAAGATCGTCATGGTTTTAAGTCATTCAGTTTGGGACAGTGAAGTCATAGAACCATAGAATAGAATGGTTAGGGGTGGAAGGGAACCTAAAGACCAACTGAGCTGCCATGGGCAGGGACACCTTCCATGTGTCAGCTCTTGGTCAGCTCTCCCCCGTGTCAGCTCTTGGTCAGCTCTCCCCCTTGCAGCTGGAAGCAGTTTATTTCCAAGGGCAGAGGTTACTAGGGAGAAGTCAGCTTTTTGTAGGATCTGACTTCAGCCACAAATACTGTGAAGTGCAACCGTCTGAACAGTTAACTCTTGCTGCTTGCTCACTGGGAGGATGGCTGGGTAAATGAGCTTGCAGGAGTGCAGGGATGGGATTAGGGACGTACAGTCTGCAGGCAGCACAGCTGCACTGAAGGTTGAGCAAGTAGCATCCCCCATCCCTGTGTTTTTTTTCCCCAATTCTAAAGGCATGTAATTCATGTTTAGGAATAATGCACCTTACAAGTCAGCTCCACTGTGACATTAGCAGGGTGATAGCTTTTCTTTTCTCTCTTTTTCAGCGTTTGAAGACACCTTCCTAAAACTGAGGCAGCTGGAGACAGAGCGCAGCAGCCCGGTGCCAACTGAGCGTCCCAACATAAACATACACGTACAGGTACTTGGGCTTCACTCCTCCTGGCGGCGTTGCTGGGTGGTGTTCAGGCCATGCGGAAAAGTCTTCGGCTTACCTTGGTCCCTTTGCAAGACTTGTAAGAATATGAATGAGTAATACTGAGGGGTAGTAAAGGAAATAGAAATGCTTTGTTATAGATAAACCTGTGACAGGGCAGTGAGATAAAGATGGGGACGGAGGTGCCGGTGCATGTATACAGTCTGCAGCCTGGTGACATCTTCTTAAACCAGCGGGAGTAAAGGGCACGGACACTTAACCTTGACGTGTTCCTCAGTTGTCTTTTCTGCAGGTTACTAACCCTACAGCATTGTATAGGTCACTCTGGTTTTTTTAGGGGTTGAGCTGCTTTCCCCGTGTTTTTCAGTTGCCTTTGGTAACCCTGCCAGAACATTTTGTTTTCAGACAAGTTCACTGGTGATGCGTCCCTCCTGTTAAGCAACTGGTTTTTACCTGCTCGCTGAAGCCGGTGCTAGTGCTCTCGGTGTTTACGTCCAGAGGAGTGACGTAGTTCGACTCGGTACTCTCATAAATCCTTTTGAGCAAGTCAGGCTGCATTTCCACGGGCAGCTGAGCCAAACTAGGAGCGTCAGTACCCTGAACCGGGTGAGGGCTCTCTTCTCCCTCACTCTTGACTCTTCCTTCCCTGGCTTCCCTCTCTCCTCTGGCGCCTCCAGGAATCATCGTGTGTTTCAGTGAAGCAGTGTAGCCTACAAAATGACCAAAAAAAATTGTTTGCCTTTCTTGTTTTGAACTTTAAGGGCTTTTTTATTGTTGTTTGGTTTTGCTTTGGTTTTTAAGTTACTAAATAGTGAGTTAAATAGGCTCATGGAAGGGGCCAAAAAAATGACAGTGATGGTGAAAATAGTGTTGCTGGAAGGGATGGAGGGGACAGGATCCTCCCATACAACAGCAGTAAACTTTGACAGGTTCACTGGTTATCAGACAACTGCACTCACACAGGATATCGCTCTTTTTTTTTTTTTTTAAGAGCTTTAAAAAGTTTTGAATTTAGATTTCCCTTCAGGTTTGCCTGTAAATAAATCATACATTTATGATGTATGGGGAACAAAAAAGACAACTTACTCTGCTTCCCTTGTGTTAAAAGCTTTGTGTGCTTGGTTGTGTTTTGAACGAGCAGAGAGAGTAGAACACCTGGCAGCGTTCTCTCTGTTTGTACTCCCCTCCCTTGCGGGGAGGCCCGAGGATTTATCTGACTTTCGGAGAAGCAGCTATGATTTTTTTTGCTTCCTCAATAATAAAACAAACCAGGTGCCGGAGCAGTGTTCAGCAGCATGTGTTTGGGCTAAGCCCATTCCTGAGCATTTGCTCCCTGTCTCCCTGGGAGAGAAGGCTGCTTGCTCTGCTATGCCCAGTGCCGCAGGCTGTTATGCTCCTGTGCCCTTGAAGGTCTGTTGTCAGGGTGCCTTGTGCCCCTCTCCGCTTGGTGGGTGCATTACAAAGATTGCCCGGTCTCTAAGACGGTTAGTCAGTAGCCTGTAGGTCCTGCTGTGCCCAAACACTGCCTCCCTGTGAAGTAAAGCAAATGAACACAGCTTATTTCAGAATGTTTTTGCCTGTTGAGCTCTGGTTTAGTTCAGAGAGGGGAAAAAACACATTTAATTGGGTAAATGGAGAGAACGGAGCAAAAGTGTCTTCGTGGTGCTTAAGTTAGGGCTGATACATAGTAAGCAAGATAAAGTTTCTGTAATGAGCTGACGGAACAAAGAGGTGTCAGTACAGCACTGTCAGCCACCTGGCTGCTGCCGTGTGAGGTGCTGAGTAACTCCGGGTGTCAGAGGTTACAGGTACTGCGGTGATGGTAACCGCGTTTGGGAGCAAGAACATGTGCACAACTGAGAAATGCACGATGTCCGGATCTGCAGTATGCCGGGATGGTTCTTTCTTGGGTAAAAGCGACCTCCGCTTTCAAGAAGGAAGGGCAGAGTGTCTTATGAGCGTGTAAGAGTAGATCATCCATGGTCTTCCGCAGGTAGAAAAGACTCCACAGCCTGCACTGTAGCTTACCAAGAGGTGACTCGGGAGTGTTTTGTTTTAAAAAGGTAGTCAGAGATCAGAGACTGCCTCTGTATACTTCAAATACCGTGTGCTTTGAGCTGCAAAGACACGCAGTGCCAGGGAGCACCCCTGTCTGTACCTGCAGTCAGTCAATCTGACGGATTTCTCCGACACGGAAATATTTATCCAGCTCTCCGTCTGCGTTTAAAGAAAGAGAAGTAGTTTTAGAGTGGCAGCTGGGAAAGGGGAATGAATGGCTTCATTCTTCACCGCTGGTCCCTGCCAAAATCTGTTGGGATGGCAGTGTGACTTTGTCCTTTCCCAGCTTTCCCTAGCGCAGTGACCAGATCTGGCAAAACAGGGCAAATAGCTCTTAAATACACCGACGCTCCGCTTTCATCAGTCCCTGAAGGGAAACGAGCAAGAAGAAGTTCACCTCGTTTGCCTGCGTTCAAAGTCTGCTCTGGAGTCAGAAACCAAGGACATCCGGGTTTTCTTTTTCTGGATCCGTTGTGATCTGCAAACACTTGGACATTATTCCAAAACGTGCCTGCATTAGACCCCCTCTCTGCGAAGTGGTTTTCAGTGGCGCCGGGAATGCCGCTCGTCCCGCGGCTGCCTTGGGTCTTTCCTTCCCACCGCTGCCTGGCGTGCAGTTTGATTGAGGAGGAAGGGACAGTCTGGCGGGCGTACGTAGAAACAGTGAGTGTGTAAGGAGCTAGAACGCTGACGGACCCCAGCAGCGCCACTGTTTTATGTGAACAACTAATGTCTTGTAATTAGACATCCCGAGGTGCCAGATGCTTTCCCCTCTAGCTGCGTGCTCTTCCCATTACAAAAAAAACCCAAAGAAAAACCCCAACAAACAGTAAAACACCACGGCTTTTTTCAAGCACCAAACAGTGATAGAGAAAAATGCATCTTTAGTATTGATGGAAATATTTCCTTGGTGATACAGAACTTGATTGCCTTTAAAATAGTACTTAATAATACTGAACTTTTCAAGAGTTGGGAACCTGATTGCTAATAGACCAGAGTGACCTAATGAAACTGGTCGTTCAGGTGGAGGAAGCCGAGAGGAAGTTAAACCACAAAATTATGCTTAAAGCAGAGTGCCCTGACGTGCTGTGTTAAAATCATCCCGTGTGCTGGAGTGATGCATTAGGGGTTCTGTGCAGGGCCTCAGTGAGGGCCCCTCCATAAGGATTTAAGGATTATCACGGTTGGGTGCTGCGACTGTACAGATAATAATGTTTTTACATTTAAAACGGGTTCTCCTATAGATAGTCTTGGAATACCCCAAAGGTGGTTTAGAGGGAAACAAGAAGAGGGAATGTCTTTCCCCTCTCTAAACCCAAACAGCTAGGGGTTCTCGCTAGCATTTGCAGCAAACCGAAAGAATCTGGAAGCAGATGGAGAGCAGTGCGTGGAGGACAGGCATTCACCTCCTCTAACTTCTGTCCCCTGCTCTGTCTGTGCACTGGGTGTCATTCCTTCTGGCCTCGCTGCAGTTGGTGCCTGCAGGAGCGCAGCAGGATCGTCCCTGCCTGAGGCGTGCTGCGGGAATGCGGCACCGGCCTGCGGGGCAGAGCTGGCGGCGTACGGCGGGGGAGCAGGGCTCCATCTCCCCCGAGAGTCACAGCCCCAGAATGACGGTCATGAGGTGTAGTTTCTACTTGCTTAATTAACTTCTGTTGCTAATCAAATAGCAATTAGTAGATTGAATGCTTAATTAACACTTTATAATTAAGAAATGCAGTTCACATAATGAAATATACTGTGGTGGAAGGCATCTCATTTTTAATGGTGTTCATGCTGTATCTGGCTGCCTGTTTGCTCCAATACGTCAGTGAAGGGAGAGGTAGCTAATAGCACGTTAAACTGTGGTTGTAACTTGTAAGTGCATTTTAAGGTAAAAATCTTCCCACCTTGCATTTGAGAGTAAATTATCGATTTAGAGTTAGGCCACAGTGGTACCGTATGATGGCTGCTGTATGGATCTCCTACCAGTAAACTAGGCTGCAAATTTGGGCCCACTTCCGTTCTTGCACGCTGTATTTCTAGCACAGCATCTCCACTTGTAAGCATTGTGCTTTTTTTACTTTATGTTTTGCTGTGACTTTACAACTGAGTTCCAAAATAACAGGAAAAAAAAAGGGTTTTCATTTCAGTATAAATCTGCTGACTTTCCTCTCCAGAGCCTGGTTGTTACTTAGAGATGTTAATAAGCTTCAGGCCAGATTTCCCATGTGGGAACTGTTTCTAATAAAGATTTTTCTCACGTCTAGGATGAAGTGGTAAAGTTGACAGAAAAGTGTCTTAACAATGCAGTTGAGAGCCCAGTCCCCACAGCAGCATGGCTTCCAGCAGATATCAAAAGCAATATCCTGAAGGCCCAGGCAGAAGCAGGGCACAAGGTAAATACTCAAGTGACAAGGCCTGTGCTGTTCTCGGATGGTTTGTTTCTCTTGGGTTGCCGGGTGTCGGGGAGGGTGCCTCGCAGGTACGGGTGCTCCACGAGCCCACACCCAGGGCAGAGTAAGGGAGACGTTCAGCCTTTCTTCACAATAACAGTGGTCCAGGACTGGAATGTTGTCCATGCAGGAATCCCCATCCTCGACGATACTCAACATCTAACTGGTTTGAGTGGTTATTGAGCCAGATAATCTCCAAAGGTTGCCTTCTAACCAAGAAATTATTCTGTGATTTTGTGGCTAAGACTGTGCTTCTAGCACGTGCTAGTAAATTCTGTAGCAAATAATGGTGTTTTATTTGGCTACCTTGGTGAATTATTTCTGTTTCTGCGATGAAGTTTTCCGTGGAATTGACATTTTAAGCCCTTGAGCAGTGGGTGAACAGCACGCTTCTGTGCTGGGAGGGAGGCACTCGGCTCTTCTGTGAATCTCAAGGCTGACATACGATGGAAACGGGTATCAGAAATGTGTATCTGTGTTCATTTCTTTCTCTCAGGTCACAAGAGAAGACAGCCTGACAGGTGTCAAGAATTCCAATATTCAGGATGCTGCTGCCAGGTACTATAGATTTGGAGGAAAAGTGTGATCTGGTTACCGGAGTGGAGGGCAGAGCACGGGCAGTGCAGGGCAGCCCTGCAGCGGCTCAGCGATCACTGCCTGTTACCTTGCGTCCCGTAGCTCATCCGGGTGCGTGCAAAGGGCTTCGAAAGTGAAAACCAGCAGGCACTATCGTTGCTAAGTTTTGTACACGAGCTAATCCAGATACCCTTTGTTCTCCCGTACTTTAACTGGATAGACACCGTTCCAGCAGCAGCTTCCGGCGCTGCAGTTACTTGTGAGCTGTGAACAGCTTCAGTGTGGGGAGAGGGGATGGGTCTGTTGGCGGTAGCTGTTTCCTGCTGGAGAAAAGAATTATGTATGAAAACCTGACCCAGCTGATTTCCTGAGAATTACAGAATCTCAAATGATTGCTGGTTCCAGTGGGATTCCAGGTATTGGAAAAAGGGTGGCCCCATGTAGTTCCTGGCCGTTTCAGAAGATGAGCATGTGTCAGGCTTCAGAGAGCACGTGGCGACACTGAATAAAGCGTACGTCTAGCGATCTCAAAAATGTGCTGTAAGAAGCAATTCCTGAGGAGCTTTCCGTGGAAGGTTGTACCTGTGTTTTGTTGTTTTGTGCCAGGAACACTCTCCCATCAGGCAAAACACAGAGTAGTTCCCCAGCAATCAGTCCGGTATTTCAAGACCCAAGAGAGCTCCTGAAAGCAATCCCTGCCTCAAACACCTTTGTTCCGTAAGTGATTCTGGAGAAACATGTTTCTGGGGGAAGGGAACCACGTGGAGATTATCATGAACCGGTCTGCAAGGATGAGGAACAGCGGCTGAGCAGTTAGGCTACGCTGATGCAGGCTTACCGATGCATTTTTAATTACTGTGGCAGCAGTTAATCAGCATAGGCCAGGCCTTGGGGTGAGTATCCCAGCGAGCAGTAAGCGAGTCTCTCCCATCATCTGAAATGACTGAAAAACTGACATCCTGCTGCCCCTGGCTCTGGAGAGGAAGATAAGAGGATGGTGGGGAAGGCTTCAGGCGAATTAGAAACAAGGGCTGAAGAACCTCTTTTGAGAGAAAGTCGTTTGCACTGTCGGGTCTGTACGCGGCTCGGGCTGAAGCTGAGAGCGAGCAGTGATGCGCAGGGGTCGTTGGAAGGCGTTTCTGCGCGCTCCTACCCATCAGGCCTGCGCCTGCTGGCGTGGGACTGGCGCCGGGTTTTGGGTTGAGCTCTCGGAAGCAGCACCGTTGCGTGCTGTCCGGGCCGTGTGCTGATGAGAATGTTCTCTTCTTTCAGGAATGTGCTAAATGAGGACCACGCTGCCTCTAACCATGAGGGCCTGCCGATTCCAGCTAACCCGGCTCCAGCCGAGGAGGCCGCAGTGGGAAAGGTATCGCCACCTGCCAGCCCGGGAGGTGTCCGTGTGGAGCGCTGCTGCCTCCAGGCGAGCCCAGCAGACCTTGCCCCATGCCTCTCGTAACTGGGTGAACGCCCGTCCTTGGTGACTGCCAGCGTGTGTTCTGGGGCAGACAGGACGCTGTACAGATCACTCCAAAGGCTGTTTCTGAGTGCTCTTTCACATTCTTTGCCTGACACTCTTGTCAACTGACCATTTTCCTTATATCCCAGTGATTTGATGTTCCAGTAAAGAGGCTGTAAGGGGTGAAATTCTGACTTAGGCAATTCCTACTGAAATAACCACAGAGGGAGAAGTTCAAATTGAAATGTTCAGTTGTTGTAGTCTGGTTACCTTAAGGATAACGTGTAACTGGCCCCATGAAATGCGCTAGCGATTAAGGGGTCAGCTTCCCTTTGTCCCTCTCCAAACGAAAAGAGAATTCCAACACCGGCCTCTGCTGTTATTTCAGCAGCCTGAGGGGTTGTTCTGGATCACCAGAGCAACGTGGTCTTCAGCTGCTGCCCCTCTGAGCCAGGATCACGTACTCGATCCCACTGAGTAATGACCAGTGCTCCGCGTTCAGACGCTCGGCTGGCAGCCGTTGCTTGTCGAATGGCGCAGAACCCCACCCCGCTGTGGGGCAGTGGGACAGTATCGCAGCTTACACGGCAGCAACGCTGTTGCCAGGGTGTTGATGGGAATAAGTGAAACCAAAAGGCTGTTGAAAAAGATCTGAGAAAACACCTGATGAACAGCGGTGTACGCTAACGGCACCAGCCTGTGACTTGGGAAGTCACTAGGGAATTCAGCTGATCTATCTGGTTACTACCGGGAATTCAATTAAAAACTGATTTATTCCACAGAGCACTCCAGATGACCGGGACGTTTCCTTAACATCACTGACAGAGAATCTAATCGACTTTACAGAAGCCACGCCTCGGGTAAACGTATTTCAAAACCAAATTTCTTCCTTCACACGTACAACGGGTTTTTACTCCTCAACTCCTCGCTGGCTCCCCTGCCTGTCCCCCAGGCTTGGCTCTGCTGCAGGAGTGGCCTGGCGATTGACCCAGGCTGACCTGGAGACTGACCAGCGCGTACGCCCCCTGCTCCTAGGGTGGCTGGCCTGGGCTTGGTGACCTACAGCTTTGTGACGGAGGTGGGGGAACCTGACTCGTAGCTGTGCCACAAGAGCCTGTGGTCTGATTTTAGTACACTCACGAGTGTCAGCCGGCTTCTCAGGCTTTTGGGTGTATGTAATACTTTGGAAATTGTATGTAAACATGTACATACACACAGAGACACATGTATAGTGTGTGTATACCTATAGATGAAATAATTACTTGAAGCTTTTAATACAAATCAACCTTTCATATAGATAAAAATCTCTTACGACCTGTGCCAGCAAAAAAAGGAGTTAATGTAGCATGCACCAAAACAAAGGGAAAGGAGTAGGAGCTTTAAACTCTTCACAGAAATATGCTCTCGGTTAACTTTGTCCAAAAAGCAGAAAATGAATGGGTTCTGTTGCTTTTTGGAAGGGGGCACCGTGCTGAAGCCGCTACCAGCGAGTTTCTGTGAGCGAGCGGGTATTAGCCGTGTGGGTACCATGTACCTTTTGGTATGAAGTCACATCTGTAGCTCATCGCTGGCCTGGCTCGAAGGCTAGTGATGGCCAAATACCCGAGCTCGTTTTGGGAGGACGTAATACGGGTTTGAGATGTTCTCAGCTCCTTCCAACCTTTGCTAATGAGCCTTTGTTTGCTTTTTGTAGGTGTCTTCCCAGCCCACGATAACACCGAGGTGGATAGTGCCAGTGAGTTATTTCCTGTTCCTTAACAACAATGAAAAGCAAAAAAGAAAGCTTTTATCATGATTAAAAAACCGGAGCTCGAGTAAAATAGTAAAATATAATAATTCTGGGCTTTCAGATTTTTGTAAAAATAATGTACCAGACCAGAACTAAAGCAGACTAATTCAGCTGGAGTAAATCAAACAACCTAACCACCGTGGTAACATTTAAACTGCATTTTTGCTGTGTGACAATGCGTGTAAATGCCGTAAAGTTCCTTTAAGAACTTGCGTCTAGTGAATCCCACCCTGAAACTCGATGAATCTTAGTTCCTACTGTTTTAAATAAGCCACCCTGAAAAACGAGCTTGTCTTGTCCCGTCCCAGCAGGTTTTCATTTTAGTTTCCTGTTTCGTTCTCCCCCATTCAGACCGGACTGATTTCCAACGGGCCTTTGGGAAATGATGTTGCCTTGGCTATGATGCTGAAAGGCAGCAGGGAGACTCTGTTGTCTTCAGCTGGGTTGCCACCGCCGCAGCAGACGTCCGAGGTCCTTGCCAGGTACGGGAAGCAGGCGCTCTTCCTGCTGCCGCTGACCGACTCGCAGCGGCCGCTTAGACAGGCTGCGCCTTTTGCCGTGCGTCTGTGGGGCCGTCTCGCTGGGTGGGATCTGAAGTACTGCAAGGAAGCAGGGCGGTCTTGTAACTCCAGCAGCAGGAGGTAAACCTGTTGTCGCTGCAAGTGCTGTAAAATCGATTAATCCTTTTCAGTTATCACTTCAGTTTCTTTCCTTCCCTGCTAACGCCTCTTAGCACTGGACTGAAATTACGGCACGGATTTGTTTGCTGAGAAATCTCTGCGTCGATACCTGTCAGAGGGCTGAGGGGAGGGAATATCCCCCAGTTATTTCCCAGCTGTAAGGAGGGCAGAGGACAGGGTCTGCACAAACTTTTCCTTTTTCTATCCCGTTCTGCCCTGCGGGTGAGGCAGACAGGTGGCCGCGGTCAGGTCTTCGCACGAGCCTCTCGCGATGTGCGTGGCAGCGGTGCTGCTCCGCGCCCTGTGAAACGGATTCCTTCCTCTTCTGCGGGTTGTCCGTTGGCCTCGCTAAATTCCGAGGGGCACAGCTGTTCATACGGTTTGGAACAATACTCGTGGTTTTCCTTTTTAACCCATCATGGCAGATCTTTTCGGGGGTGTGTATTTATGAGGCCTTGTGTTTTTCTCCTTTTAGCCCAGTCGCTGAGGATGCTGCAGCAAGGATGAAATGTTTACTCACCACTGAGCTCTAAAGGCGTCGTTTCTGCACTTCCCACCTTGTAAGAACTCACGTCTCCTAATGTATCTCCAAAGGATCCTTCTGAAAGACTTGCTTGGGATCGAACTCATGCTGAATGGGAGCCAAACAGCCAGCTGGTTTTCTAGGATCCAGGAATAGACTTCTACACTGACTGCAGCCTAACTGGAATGAACTGGGATATAAAACCACACGCACGTTTGATCTTCTCCTGAGGGGGAAGTGAAATACCACACTGGAGCTAGTTCGGGACCCGAAGAACAGAATCCTGTTGTGTTCCACTCGTGCTACGTTTGGTCTCACTCACCTCCAGCGTTAATGGGGCGCGTTCCCAGGGATGTTGGCCACGTAGCAGCGCACGGTGTCTGACTCGCGGAGATCAGCACTGAAAGATGAGGAGAACTTGTAGGGCCACCTTGTGGCCGGTACTACGTGCGGTGGCTCACAGCAGGGGTGACTTTCCTACGGCCAAGGACGTTTTCTGTGTGATTATTCCTCTGTTATCCCTTTGTTTTACCAACACATCCTCTCCTTTTTGGCCTTAAACCCCGTAATAATCCTTCCACCTCTTGTTAGAGTACCTGGAAGGAATGAAAATCTAGTCCATCACTGACCCGCTACGTTGACTGGATTTGAGCTGCTCGCTGCAACCTGGAGAATTCCCTGCCCAGCAGCCTACAGCACTAGCACAGTGCAGCAGAGGGCCCCATTCTGACACCACTTATTTCCTGTGTGACTCAAATACCTGCGTTTTAGGCGAGAGATTTATGTTTCAAAGGCTGAAGCAGTGAGGTGTGAGTACAGTTTGCGTCAGGAACTGCTCCTTGGTTCGTTTGGTTGTCATGTAGGACTAGGAAGGAAAAGAAGGTTCTTGTTTCTGTTTATACCATTTCGGGGTGTTGTTTCCAGATGCTGTGCATTGGGAATAATTACAGGGTATGTTAACGACAGGAGGGTACAACTAGATCAGTTCTTAACACCACCTTGAGTCCCGCTCCAGGTGTCATCTAATAGTTGTACGTGGAACAGGGAATAGAAGGAGTAAGATGAAAACAGGAAAAAGAGGTGACAGGTTCCTGTAAGCAGTTCACTTCTTTGTAGGAAGAAGGTAGGAGCAGGCTCCACAGAGCGGGTGAAGGCCTTTCGGTGGCCAGGTGAAGGACGGGATGCAGGATGTACAGTCTGAAGGGATCATCGAGTCCTGGGCAGCAGGATCCCCAGGTGGACGCGGAGAGGTGAGCACGTGGACCCTGGGAATCGGCCTGTGAAAAGGTCAGTGCAGAGGCAGGGAGGAGAATCCCGATGGTGAGCTCCGCATCTGCCAAGAGAGAAGCGTGGATGGAACAACTGGGCTCTGTCTGTCTTAGGAGGAGGTTTGTGCATCTGCCTGGGCTTGGAGGGTGTTTTCTGCATAGTGCTGCTGTGTATCAACATTCGTGCACGTGTGGTTCTTAGAAACAATTTTAGATGTGAAAGTTGGTTCTGGAACCCATATGCACAACTCCATTTCTGCACCCCGGCTGTCGCCACGTAGGCAGAGGCTTGGACCTGTGGGTTGTGTGAGTAAAAAAAAAGGCCCAGCTGCCGCTCTCAGAGCGGGGCTTTGGCACTGCGGCTCTCGTGCTGTCGGTTGCAGGATGCTGAATTAGGGCATTAAGGAAGAAGCTATGTGGCCACTGCCACACCTCAACCCCCCCGAGGCCTTAATAGAGAAACACAGAAACCTCGGGGAGCTTGTGGGACCAACGCACCAGGGTGACTCTGCGGCCACCGCCTCGAGGACTGGGAGTCAGAAGTGGTGGCAGGTGCCTCAGGTGTCCCCTCCTGGGCGGGCAGGTTGCTGCCCCGGGGAGCTGCTGATCTGCTCCCGCTGTCGCTTCCAGCTTGGGTGTTGGCTTCTTTCATCCTTCCAAGCCTGAGCCTTACCGCGTACTAAAGCGTAGAAGGTTCCCCATTCAAATATCACATCTCTTGGTGTGGATTAGTAACGCAGGTGCCAGCAAAGTTCCTGTGGGAAAAGGGAAGCTGATCCCACTTCCTGCGCCAAACCGGGAGCGCCTGGGGAAACCGGGCGCTCGCTGTGGGTCTGTTTGCTCAGCAGCTGAGCTGGCGTTCGCCAGCTGCGCGTGTTGGTGCGGTATGCGGAACGCAGCGGCGTGTTCGCTGTGCGGGTTCAGGAGCGTGGTGAGCCGTTAGCTTGAGTCCCTCCCAAAAGGACCTCGGAGCAAATCCTCCCTCCACGTCGCTCAGCGCAGCGTATTCAGCCATTCCACGTCCCTGCGTGCACAGGCAGACGGTGACACCAAGGCACCACGGTTACGTGCTCTGAACAGCACGCAGCTCTCCGAACATCCCGTCGTTTGGCATCGCTGTTTTGCCTTCATACAACAGGTATCGCGATGCATCGTGACCGGCGAAGAGGGAACGCAGCGCGGCTCGGGCCCGGCGGGTTACCGAACACCAACAGTAGCTGCTGCGCTCGGTGCTAGGAAGCACTGACGCCGGTGTGACGCTGAGGAAAAGGGATTTTCGTACCACTGCTCTGCTGTGGGTTGGCTGTAAGGCCCGATCTCCCCCTGAAAGTTTATTTTTTGGTATTTAGTTAGATTTATAAATAAAACCTGTGAGAATCTGCTGTTGGGATGCTGGCAGGTCTGCCAACCACTTAAAAGCTTCAAGAGCTGACAGGAATGAATGAACGAATGCACGTTCTCCTGCAGTCATTTGGAAAAAGCCAGTTTTGGTTTGAAAGAAAAACTCGAAAGTTCAATTTTTTTTTTTTTTTCCCCAGTGAAGTTTTCCCCTCTTGGCTTTGTAACGCCCGTCCCGGCCTGTGCTCAGAAACTGGCCTTGTACCCCTCCACGCTGTGCCCACACCGTGCTGATCCCAGTCGGGGGCGCTTTAACTCCGTAACTTGATCCAAAAGTAAAAGTGGTTTCACTCCAGTTGCACTCCATATGCGTAGGAACCTTAACGCACACGGAAACAGAGACCCAGCTCGTGTCTCAAACAGACTGATCGCAGGGAGATGCTGCACCGTGGAAGTGTGTTAGACCCCTCGAGTCGAACAGGAGGGGAACGCTGTGAACGTGCTCTGGTGCAACCCAAACCTACGGATCAGGAGCATTTCCCGGCCAGCCGGCAGCGCGTGAAGCCCTGGGGGCGTCAGCGTGTGTTGGTCAAGGAAGGTGTAGTATCGTGACGCGGCGACGCCGCAGCTGTCGAAGGCAGCTGCCCCCTCAGAACTCTGTACCAAAAGACAGCTCAAACCTGAGCGAGGGAATGGCCTTCTGGTGCCGCAGCCCCATCCCTCTGCGTTTGCACCGAGCATCCACGCTGCAGCCCGGAGGACAGGGCCCTTCCCGCTGCCGCCAGCTGGCCGGAGCGTCGGCGTGTCCCCATCGGGCACCGCGCTGTCCTGTCACCGTGCTCAGGGGGAGACGCCAGCCATCGGCATGGCCTGGTGAAAGCCGGGAGCGGGTGCTCACCCGGTGTTGTGTCCGACCCCGAGCCACAGGTTCTCCTGCAGAATTCGCCGCCTTTGAACTGCTTGCCTTGAGCGCTCGGCTTCGTAAGCACCACCGCACCCGCCCTGGACCTGGACAATGTCATTTTTTGAGTATGTAAGGATATTTTTTAGCTAGATTTTTTTTTTTTTAAAGCCCCGCTAACTACTAACTACTGTATTTTTACCTTTTATATGTAAAGCTTGGCAGTAGCTCTCAATGTGTAATTTATTTGTTGTTTTTTTTATAAAACAAGGTGGCACCCTCTTGCTTTTGTGTCACAACACTAGTGATGTATGAACTCTTTCCTGTACGGAAGCTACACGGGAACAAGAAACTGTGATCTGTAGTCCACTCGATCCGCTCTCGGAATGTTTATACGGTAGTTTTGTCTCAAATATACCACATCAGTGCAAAATGTCTCCCAGAGTCATCGTTAAGCACAGGGGCAGCCGGGATTTGGCGTGGCTGGGGCCAGCGGGCTGCTGCGCCCCCGAAACCAAGGCCAAAGGTGTGGGGCAGACGCGCACGCGCCCCCCACCTCGTGGGGTCTGGCAGTACGTTAACGCTGCAGGACCCTTCGCCGTCTGTGCGCTGCGGTCACTGGGCAGCCTCTGGGGGAAGAGATAGTACCTGGGTTGGAGAGAGGCTCGTAGAACTATTTGGGATGTCAAAACCGCAGGCTGTGGTGAAAACTTAATTTGCTGTCAATCAAAGCGTAACCTCAGGTGACATCTGAGCTGGCAGGCAGATGCTGAAGGGTGAAATGCCGCCTTTCCAGAAAAGCTGAGGCTGTCCTGCAGGACTGTCAGCTGTTCCCTGGCTTTGAAAATCAGCCCGGGGAAGGAAGTTCTGAACTTCCAAGCATAGTTCCACAAAGCACAGAGAAAAGCGCGTGCTGGTTAGCTGAGCTGTCGTGCTTTTCCTTCCAGAAAGGGGTTGGTTTAGAGGTCGAAGCGCGGTGGTGCCAGTGATTGTTCAAAGGAGACTCTTTATATCCACCCCTGACTTTGGTGAAATGCCGGAGAAGGCAGCAAGGGGCAACCAAACCTTTGGATCACCTTGGTTTCTCAGCAGTTATCACAAGGAAGCGAAGTGACTCCAGCCTGAAGACTGAGCTCAGAGAAGGTCATTTCCCCTGTGGCATCATCTGTGCTGTAGGTCAATCTCCAACCCCACTGATAAGCTCTTCAAATCCATTTATAACTCCACACGATAAACCACATTTGGTTCGGATTTTTTTATTATTATTTTAAAAAACACCCTCTTTAAACACCTATATTCTAACAGGAAGTCCCTCTGCTCTTCGTGGATTTTGGTGGTCAGAAACCGAAGGCGGACGGCTGGATTTGCTCTCAGGCGCGTGACTTGGGACGCAATGGCACACCTCGTGTCTCGGATGGGATGGCAGCCGCCTTCTGTATCCTTCTGCTTTCGTTCTGTGGGTCTGGCTTAGGCTGGGGGCGCACCAAGCGCATTGAGCTGCCC